GAGGACTCTGGGCCAGAATAAGCAGGATGTGCTTGCTGGGGGCCTCATCGTTTGCTTCACAGCATTGCCTCAGCCGCTGATGGGTAAAGAGTTCAAGTYCTAACTTTAATGATGGAACCCTACAGAGAATCCTACGGTGTTCAAATGGGGCTCGGCCCACCAAGACGTGTCAGTCAGGTGCTCRGGGAGTCTTAACTTTAAAGGAAGGCACACAGCCGAGCTGAATCTTGGATTTCTCTCTCCAAGTCTGTCGTTCTTCTCCTCATGGAGGTGWGCTGTATGTGCCTACAGGAGAGATCATAGTGCTGCTTTTAGAAAACACCGGATCTCCTCAGAAACCATGTGACAAGAACTACACTGTAAATYTGACTTGTTTCAGCTTCAACAAAAAGGAAAAGAGCTGCCCTAAGCTCTTCATTTAAAAGAGAAAAAAATGATTTAATGATTTTTTTCTTGATCTAAATTATATAATAATATATATTTGTACTTGAATATTATTTTAAAGTTTTGTTTTAGTTGACTAAAYGAATCAGTTGATAGAATTGTTTGTTTAAACATGGAACCATCCATCCGTCCTTTCCAGAGCACGAGGAAATTGTTTCTCCAGTCACTACAAAGGCAGGAGACACACTGGACTCAGCAGGATTTTGGTCTGAGAAAACCCACACATGCAGACCCCACCCAGAACAGTCCAGGCCCAGAACATGAGACAATCCGCTGACCTTGCTGAAAGATGACAGCTCTGATTGCTGAGCTGCTGTGTCGCCTCTTCAAATCGAATTTATCCAAATTTATTGACTGATCTAAAAAAATTTTAAATTGAAATGCTTGTTTAAAACTACAGATGTGGTCTCCTAAACCAGTGTTTCCCAAASTTTTTATCTTCTGACCAACAAAATATCCATGGCAAAAACTTGTGACCCCAAATATTACTGGTCTGAGTACACAAACTTTGTTAATAACCCTAAAAACACAGGCTTTTTGACAATCTAAACAGCTTATACGCAAATATAAATACTTATTTATTTTATGTAATTAATTCAGAAAATCTTTTCAGGACCCCACCTTGATGTTTGACCCCAACTTTGGGAAACACTGTCCTAAACTATATAACTCATTTTGTATACAAATGTAATGATAATTTTTCAGACGCATTTAAACAGGGGCGTGGTTCTTGATGGGCGGGGTCAGAGCTAGAACCACCCACTTTGACATTTTCCCTTTTAATATAATCGCCATTTTGTTTATTGTTTTAAATATATTTTTGTGGCGTAAGTGTTCATTATAACTATATATCATACAATGATAATAAAATCAAATTGAATGTACTTTACTATATAATTAAAATATTTACTGTTGGAGTTTGATGCTGGACTCTGTCTCTCTCTCTCTCTCTCTCTCTCTCTCTCTCTCTCTCTCTCTCTCTCTCTCTCTCTCTCTCTCTCTCTCTCTCTCTCTCTCTCTCTCTCAATTTTATTTTAATGCCACTTCCGCCATAAAAGGCCAGGCAGTGCTCCACGTGCCCATTAGCACGCGCTAAATGACTGTTAACAATGTATTACCCAGACTCCCCTGCGTTGGCGTCAGCAGCTTCCCTTCAAAGCTCGCAGGTAATTCAGTCAAAGGTTTTTAATAAACAGCCTCTTCTGTTCGCTGTGGATTCCTGAGCGGGGGCGGGGCGGGGGGGAACACTCAAGATAACTCCGCTCCTGATTGGCTGAACTGCTGACACCAGACACACCTGCCAGCTAATTAGCAAAACAAAACAAACCGGCTAACTACTTTTATGCAGCTAATTTATATCTCATAACATACATGAAAATTTATGTTAACGAATTTTAATGAGCCTAGTTGGGAAGAATAGCAGCTCCTGTGACCATCAGCTCGCCGCCTAAATTAAATAATAAGATGAAATTAATTATATTATTTTCGAAATGCGGCCAACAGAACTTTGAGACAAAAAAATAGAAAAATATTACATAAAAAAYGTTATTTTTATGAAATTTAATCGGATCTACATTTTATTCTAAGAGTTTTTTGAACATAACATAAAACGTTCTTCCACACTGTTAACTGATAAAGATATTATGTTTTGTATGATGTTTTTTGCAATCTTTATTATGCTTTTATTGCGAAACACAAGTAGTTTTTTTTTATTTTAAACCTTACAAACCAGTCAACTAAATTGCTATAGATGCTTAATGTCTTGTTTAAATCATTAATGTTATTATTATAATTATTGAGTAGAATATTTACTATAATTGTGTATTATGTTTACTATTGTCCCACATAAATTGGTTCACAATTTCGTTCAAAACAAAAGCTAATTAAACTAGAAAATATTAACTCGGCTTACAGCTCAAATTTTCTTCCATCAACATTGTTCRTTAATTATTGGCTTTTAATTTTAAGGATTATTTTTGGTCGTATTTAATAAAAACAAACGAATGTGTGAGAAGTGTTTAACTGGATTAATCTGAGCTGACATGTCAACATTTGAAATGTCAAAAAGCAGACAGGCAGTGAACCAGGCTGATTTCTAAACAATCCTGAGAAATAATGTCAGAATCACAAAGAAATGAGGCTTTTTCTCCAAACAGCCCTGAGGACGTGATGCAGGCGTTCTTACATCTGATAAAATCCATATATCCTCCTCTGACGGACACTCATTTAGTCTGAAKTTCTGCCAGTAAACACGGAACATTTTGTTTATTTAAGGTCCAACAGCAGGAAAACCCATGTCTGTCCGCTGTGAGCCCTGACGCTTCTGTCTGTCCGGTTCTGCCAACACATTGTGAACCCCCACACCGCCTGTGTGCACGTGTCAAAACGGACTTTTAGTGTCTGGACCGGTTCGTTTTTACCTTCAAAAAAAAAAAAAAAAAAAAAAGTAATCCGATCCCAGTGATGAGTTCAGCTCAAAACAGACATATTTTAATAATCTCCTTTATTTTTTAAATGTTTGATTTGTAAAGTTTCTGATCAAAATGAAGCAAAATTGCTTAAGTTTGTAAAATTGATTTATTTAATCCTCAGAAACATATATAT